CTTCCTTTTAACAAAAGACTGTTTTGGTCGAATCATTTTGAGTTTATATGTAATCTTATGCGTGTTGGACGTGAACAACATCTTGTCTACAACTTTGAGAAGGTACAGATAACGCTTTCTAAAATCCTCAGTTCTAGCGATATCTCTATAATTCACAAGGAAGTTAATGCTAACAAGGCTGTGTCACTGGCCTGAAAAATAACTCTTTTAACGCAATCAAGGTATTTAAAACAAAACGCCAACGTAACGGCGACGGCGTTTTAACCGAACAGCCAACGTAACGGTGTTTTAACCGAAATTTCCCACAATTAATACCGTAAACCTCCGACTATAAGCCCTGGGCTTATATACTTTCGTAAGCGATTTTTGATGGGCTTATACAAGGGGGGCTTATATACGGGGGGAGGGGGGCTTATACATGGATGATCTTTTGTGTTAGTAATAAACAAGTCAGACATAAACAAGTCAGTCATAAACAGGAAAATAAACATGTATTAAGCAGCAATTAATTTTATATTAATTCGGGGGACTTGTATTTGGAATGAGGTGAGCGTTAGTACATGTGGTGGGCTTATACACGGGGGGGGGGGCTTATATTCGGGGAGCTTATAGTCGGAGGTTTACGGTAATTCTACTTCAAACAATCAACTGAATCAAGGGTTTTTAAAAAAAATATAACTGACATGTTCTGCAAATGCTTCTACTCTTTGTCTTCTTTTTACAGTATAATTTTAATTATTTTAAGTTACTTCATCGTGGAAACAATGGCACATGGATATATTCGGTAGTCAATTTATCCATGTGACCCCGTCCCCGTCCGTTTGTATTCGGCGTCCGAAGCGGTCACGCACGAACACTTTACCTGCGAACAGGCATATTCTGGAAAGGAAATAGAAATACTTCATGTAAACGTATTACATAGCTCCCGGAACAATAAAATCACCATTTTTTACAAGTAAAACAGTCTTTTTTATAGACAGTCTTTGCACTGAACTCAGACATATTTTGGAAAAAAATGTTTAAAATTAGAGGTCAGGGACTTTTATCAGGTCGGGCGGGGACGCTATTAAAACAAGTAATTTTTTTATGTGGCCTTACATTGTTCGAGTATATTTTATATAGGTATGGTATTGCTAGTTTACATTGTTCAAGTATGGCTAGCTTATATTTTATGGGTATTTTACACTGTTCGAGTACATAATATCTTTCAAGGGGAATTTTTTGGTGGTGTTTTTTTTACAAAATTGTGCACGAGATACAAACTTTTTGTGCTTCACAGGTGTCGAGCAAAATTCCTGACCAAGCGACTGACAGGTCAGAAATTTTGCATGTGTAGGCGCAAAATATATGAGGCTTGCTAAATACTTCATATTTCAAATCGACATCGCTAAGTTTCAATTTACAAACACTTAATAATTAAACTTTAATTTTCAAAGTGGATTGTGTGGTCGCAGCTGCAAAATACATGACGTTTGCTGTAAAATATGGTTGAGTCAGTCGAAACAATTTTTAAATCCATATACAAAATTACGATTACCAATAGTACCTTTAAAGGTGATGTAAGGTCTGTAATGTAAACAAACACTTTGTTTACATTTTGAACTCAGTGCTACAGTTGTAAAATATGACTAGATATATATTATACTGAATTTTTAACACTCTTCTGGTTCGTTATGCTTGTAAATTAATACAGACTAGAGATTCAATCCAGGAAAGTTTGGAAGGTGCAAAATAATTAACAACGTTCCAATGGTTGGGTCCCGATCATTGAAATGTAGGCCTGTGCATAACGTATGCGCAGAATGGGCTTTATAGACATTGCTAAATCTAAATGGCCAACACACAAACTCATTGTCGCTGCTTACTAAATAGTCAGGAAGGTCAAACACAAAACGATTTTTGGTTCTTATAATAATGTATATAGCATTACCCAGTGTTGTAACGAGTCGAGTCATTGACTCTGACTCGAGTCAACTCGAGTCGCTATTTTCAGCGACTCGACTCGACTCGAGTCCAATACGAAAAATGACTCGACTCGACTCGAGTCAACAGCCCCAAATGACTCGACTTGGACTCGATTTGCTGATTTTGCCGTAAATGACTCGAGTCAACTCAGCTACAACTTGTACAGAGTAAATTCATCACAATTATTGTAATTGTATTGCTTGGGAAGAACAATGAGCCCTGTAAACAATGAGAACTTTGAAACTTTATCAGAAAATATATGGGATTTGCATAGAATATATTCCTGACGGGCATACCTATATTACATTTCTGTTTTTAGAAACAACGCTAGTGCCACAGTTTTTTAAAATTAAGTCTCAAAATGTTTTGTACTTATACTAATTCTGACAGGCTATTTTCATTATTGGTATTTATGAAGGGCTATATAATTTCAAATCAACTTACAAAGCGTTGTTAATTAAAGTCTATTCTTTGTTAATTCTGACTCCAGTTGCAAGTTTTGCTAGTTGTATGTACGTACACTCGATCAGCAGGTATGATGAGACATCTCACGTGGTTGACTGGAACTGTGATATTGGCACAGCCTATAGCTGCCCAGATACTGTTATTAATTTAAATGACTAAAGTAATTAGTTTAAAAAGGCAAATTTGATTACTAATTTCCGACAGCAAGCTAGGGTAGCTCAAGTAAAGTCTAGAAATTGACTCGACTCGCCTTAAATCAGTGACTCAACTTGACTCGAGTGAAGCCGCTGACTCGACTCGACTCGAGTGAAGCCACTGACTCGACTCGATCAAAAACTGAAATGACTCGACTCGTGACTCGACCTTTGAGCGACTCGACTCGTGACTCGACCTGTAGGTGACTCGTTACAACACTGGCATTACCTTTGAAATTGGAGTCTATTTTATATCACTAAAAGCACTTTTCGATTGACTTTTTCCATTTGCAGATTTTAGATTCAAGGCTTTGTTATTGCTGAACGCTAACATTCACAACCAGTGCTATATTGACAATTCAGTTGATCAATTGTAGAATTTGAAAATTTATGTATACATATTATCCAACAAAATGTGTTGTCTGTTGAGCTGCAAACTATGAGCCAAAACCATTCATGTGCATCGTCTGCACATGGGCAGTTCTAAAATGGGGGGGAATAGGTTTTCGAATCGTCGGATTTCACAGAAAAAATTGTTTGGATTTTGGATCTGGCAAGTATTTTACACGGATTTGCAGGTCTTATTATTATAGCGGATTGCGGATTTATCTAACATTTTGGCTGGGTTGTGGATTTGGCTTGCAATTTAGTACAGATCCAGACTCAGTGAGTGAGTCGGAGATCCTGGATTGTGACTTCATAGTAGAGCTTTTAGCAGATCCAAATTTAGACATGACTATTGTCGGATCGCAGATCTCGCTTCAAATTTGGGCGGATTTGTATACCCCTAT